GGAGTGTTTAAGCAATTATACTGCTCATAAAAATGCTCAATCTTTCTGTAACGAGAAGAAAGTTGTAGGAGTGCCTTAAAATTAATTAATATATATGAGACTGTTGATGTGCCTGAGGCCATAGCCCCAAGGACATTTATTTACATGAACTATTCCTGAGAAGTCAACTGGACAAGTCATGCAATGCAAGTTAAGTGCACACGTAAGAGATGAGGGGATTAAGGCCAAAACCAATCTCCTAACAGGTACCATCTTGTACAGGAGGATGAGGTGACCTGCTTGCCGATACTCTCAATGCTTTGGATACTCGTGGTACAATTATGCAAAGTTTTTGTAAAATGTAAAGCCGTACAGTAAGCTGGAAGACATCTAAGTTCCACATCTCAGTGGAAGCTCTAAACGTTCTCCAAAATTATTCTTTCTTAGAGTGGTAATCAAACACCTGCATTAAAAAAAATCATTATATATATAGTTATTAAAGTTGGAATTATATCCCTGTTTACATTTTTTTCCACAACCAACCTGACCCAAATAAAATGTATATGCTGATGCTCTTTGTGACAAATAAGCCAAGCATATTTTTTGATTTTTTTTTTCTGTGTTCAGACTATTAAGAGTAAACAATTACATGAAAGTGTGAATCTCTCAAAGTGGTTCTTAAAAGGCTTACATTACTACAGAAGTTAAGAATTGAATCAAACCATGAGTTTTACACAAACTTTGAGGGAGGTTTGTTAGAAAAATCCAATTCTAGTTCAACGTAGGCAGCTTTTAATTTGTAAGTCTAATGTCATTTCAAATGCTTTAGCATACTTTAAAAATTTGGAGAGAAATATGAATGATACTGGTATCTGTCACTTCCAACAAATATGAAATATGAATATGAATGTCCAGACAGTGAAGATACCCTGAAGGGTTAATAGGCACCATACTGTTTGTACTGAATCCAATGGTAAACTTCCATTGTTTTTGACAGTACAGAATTAGACTCTATGGAATTTTTATTTTCACTTGTAAATTTGTCACCAGATACATAACACCATTCTTTGATTCTCCAACATCTTTCCTCAAACAGATTCTTTTTATAGATAAGCCAAGCCTTATTCCAGGTTTGTGTAGTTCTACTTAAATATTTAATTTTCCACTTCACCAGGTGCCACTCCTACAGCCTCCTCTGAAGAAAAGCATTTTTCAAATACAACTTGGTTCCTAAAATGCCTTATTTTGCATTTTTAAAAAAATCATTTACTGGTATAAATAATTAAATTTAAAATGAAGCTTCAATGTGTGATGTTTTGAATCATGATTAATTTTTTTTATTGTTAAACAAACACAAGGATGTCTATCTACACATTTACTTTTTACACACTCCATCTGCCCTAGTCATTGTAGCATTAATGCTAAAAGGAGTTTGCTTTATTTGGATTTGTCAGAGACAGAAGCTTGTCCCACTGTAAATATGTTGTTTTAGATGATTTAGTGGAATATTGAATTTGAAAGGATCACATACAGGGATCATTCAATTAGGTGTTTGGGAATCGTGAGTGAAGGGCTAACATTTAACCTGGAGCCCCTATAGCCCATCTATATGTACGACACAGTATGGTAGCTTTCCAGGTTCAGTACATTTGCAGTGCAAAAAGTTATATCCTTGGCTATATTCCAGTACAGAATGAAAGCAGGAGAGATAAAAAGACAGTATAAACATCCTGAGTTCCTGCAATGGTAAGGAATTTGGTAACCATTTGACCCAAAAAGAGGAGTATGCCCCACATCATAAAGGAAGGCAAAAAGTCCTAAGGGTCTTTGACAAACTCACCAAAGGAAAAAAAAGTTCTATGACTCCAAATCTTTAATAGATTGAGAAGAACAAGGCATACGAGCCGGGCACATGGGAGACATGGATTCTACGAGGCACACCAGCCCATGCTGCCCTGCCTGCTTCTCCACCTCATCAGAGAAGCTGGCGACTGAAATGCACTCAAACACCAAGTCATTCAGAGGAACAAAAACATGACCAGCTTGTCCTGCTATAAGATCAGTAGTACAGGATTTAGGTAGTTTAAAAGTTCTGCAAAAAACCCGAAGCAGAAGTCCTGTCCACTTTCAAAGCTTTTTGAAGATTTCAGCATATCTCACACATAAGGATTCATATCCCAACTTAAAATCTTTTTTTTTTTTTTTTTTTTTTTTTGTGTCTAGCATGGAAATGCCTTTTCCAGGTTTATGAAGCACAACCACATATATACATATATATATATATATATTTACTTTCACTCTGATTTTAGAAGACTTTTCTAGAACATCTCAGGTAGTTAGAAAGTTTTCAACTTTTAGCCTCAATGTATTTGTGTATCATTTTCAGCCTTTTCTACTTATAGCAATTCTATTATTTAAATAATATTTTTTACTATGTACATCATGTGACAGATACTCCATGTTCTTCATCACTGTAGTAATTATTTGTACATAGCAACCTTGAATCACATCAATGAAGTCTAATCACAATTAGTTTGCAAGACATTTTTGGATTAAATAGTATCTAAGACCTGATTTTGTTTATACTGCAAACAGAAAAGTTTAGGTTATTGCTTTTTCTGAATGTGGTGTTTCCCTGGCTCAGGTACATGCATGCACTTTTCTGTCTGACAAATACTATGTATTTTAAGGAAAAAACTATTGCAATTGCATCTCTAGCCCTTCAAAAGGTCTGAAGTATATTCACATGATATTTAAACCTTTATTTTCTATTCTATAGCTTGACAGAATTGAATTTATGAACAGTACATAGTCTCTGTTAAAATACTACTTTTAAAATGCCTTCAAAAATCATGGGTGAAACCTTGCTCAGTTCATTGATGTTGGGCTGAAGTAAGCTAGATTTACACAGTGAGATTCCTTTGTTTCCAATTTCTGAGCACCATCAGTTTACACAGTTGCTAAAGTGTTTGCCTGATTCTGCTGAATTCTTTGTATCTCCCAATATGACCTTATGCAGAAACGAGAGAACATATGTACAAAAAAACACACACAAAAAAACCAAAAAGGTATTTATATTCACAGCATATTTATGCTTCAGCTACTGTGTTTATCTTTTTTACTCCCTGACAGCATTAGCCATGACAACATACTACTGAATAAAAGGGGACAACGATGGTTTTGTGTACATCATATCTTGCAACTACACAGCCCAGGTTTCTGGATGGCCAAAATTCAACTTGGAAGATGCCCTTAACCCCTGCTACACCCAAACATACTGAGGCTTTGACTAGGATTAGTGGTAGATCACCTAACCAAAATCATGACAGGACCCATGCTAACAGCTTCACAGTATGGATGTTGCTTGCTGGTCCTCAGGACTGTGCCCTGGCCCTCTTCAGTTGCTGCTATGGACGTAGCCTAAGGTTTAGTTCAATTCCACTATACCAGCGATGACAATATGATCTCTCCAGCGAGAGTTAGACTTGGCCTTAGGCATATGATTTTATTAACATTCAGAAAATTACAACATAAGCAAAAATAACCCCAAAGAAAAACAAAAAATGGAAACTTGAAAATGAAACATATGCTTGCAGATTCAGTGCAAAAGCAAACTGAAGCAGAAGTTGCTAATATGGTTTTAGTGCTTTGTGAAGGTGCCAGCTGGATGGATGATAATTTTTCTACCCCTGCAGGGCATCAAAGCTTTTATAAAATCATTCCTTTCACACATATTAGCACTTAGCTTATTAAAACAGATGATACTTTTTTTTTTTTTTTTTTTTTTCTTTTCGTAAAGCTGCCTGGGAGTGTCTTGAAATATGAAATCTGAGAGATAAATCTCATTTTGACCACCCAGTCTAACAAACAACAAACACTGACATGACATACCATGGCTGAGAGTCTATGTTATGGGACCTTCTGTGACTGCCACAACTGTAGTGTCACAGTAAAGGCTGTGAATTGCTGTTATGAAAACATTTGCTGTAACTTGCATAATTAAATGAAACTGCCAGCAAAGCTTTCTAAAATGCTTATGAGACAGCACACAAATAAATACATTTCAAAGTGCATATTATGCTCCAGAATTGGTATTATAATGAATTGTATTGCACATACCAGAGACCTTGTTTTTCCTCTGTTCAAATTCCTAACATAATTATGTTACTGATGTCACTGTCAGGTAAATTGATTCCACTTTTTAATCCAAAAAATTGTATTTTATTAGTAATATTAATAATTTACATGTGTAGTAGTTTAGTTTTGTAAAAAAAGACATGATTTCAACCTCTAAAAGTTTTTACTTTGTGCAACTCGGAAAGGGACATACTAGACAAAAATCAGTGCTCTGAACTTGAATGAGCTTCTGCTCATTATGCCCAAGAATGCAGCTAGTAGTTCATAGAGAGCCCTGTGCGGAGAAAATTTATTAGAGTGGGTGACCATTTCTAATAAATGAGGAGGAATCAAGCAAATAAATGATTGGTAAGAGATGGTGAAAGCCAGTACGGAAACTGAGGAGGACACAATCTTGCAATGTGCAGGCCTTGAGGAGAAGGATTATGCTGAACTTGCAGAAAGAAAATCAAAAATGTGCAAATCTGATAAATGTTTGTCCAACTTCAAGATCTTAGACATCTCACACTAAAAATGTGATAAAATGTAATCCTAAAAGTCAGTTTATGGTAGTACCAGCCATAGATGCAGTTCTCTTATTTGGTCTGCTTTCTTTAAGGAACGAAATGTACAAGTTCTTTATTTAAAGAAGTTAACTATACAATCACATCAGTCCAATTCTGTTCACTAATAGATTCAAAATCAAAAGATGGAATAAAATCAGAACTCATGGTGGATAAATGCCTATTCTAAACAATACTCTTCTAATGTTTTTTGGCATTCTAGTACTCAAAATTTCCATGCAGAAATGTTTTAAAAAAGCTCACCCTTGATAGTTTCCTTGCTGAATTTAATAAAAATGGAGCTTATCCTTTCAAGCAAGTATTGTAAAAGCAGTCACTTACGTCAAATAGCTTCTCTATATACATTTCCTCATTGACCTTTTCTCGAAGTATATCCTGGTTTTGTCGAACAAACATAATGTAGGTATCTGCTAGGTCCATGCCTGGTTTCTGTGGAGACAGGGGAGAGAACAGTGGGAAAAGAAAGACCAGACAACAATTGAGACTTACAGAAAGTTATTTTTAATTATGACTGAGATTATGTTACAGTTCTCAAAAATGTATAAACCACTCACATTTACTAAATCTACTGTAAACCCTGAATTAGCCAGTACAGTAACCCTGAACCCCAGGTTCAGGGAAGTTCACTATTAATAAAGTTCTTGTAATTTATGAATGGTTTGAGTCAAATGCTGCCATAGATTGAAATTTTGGATTTGGAACCATGCATGGCAAAACCAGATTTTCCTCACTTTGTTCCTAGCAAGCTTCTCAGATTCTCCTTCAAGGTCCAGGTCCTGCCACCACATCCAGAAAATGGTTAGAATGTGCTACTTGCAGCCATCAAGATCCCCTTTTATGGGCATATAGGAAAGGTTGCTCAGGAAAAACAAGTTATTACTTCTAACACGAGCCAAGAATGAACATAAGCACTTTGGGAAGTCTTCTGTAAAAGCGCTATGCATGAGCTAATTTGTAAAAAGCACCTTTTGGCTGAAATAATATTAGAATTCCTTGCAGAAAGAATTCCTAAGAAGTTTTAGTTTTATGATAAGTTACTTCAGAGTAAGCCTCTGCACAATACTAGTTATAAAAGACCCAGTGTGGTTAAGACTGGCTCAGAATGTTACAGAATTTGGGAGAGTAAGAGAGAAGCATCTATATACAGCCCTGCACTCCCAGGCTAGAACCTGCTTCTGTCTCAGTGACTGCATAGACACAAAGCTGTTGCAATAAAATATTTACCATATCTTAAAGAACTGTATGTATAAACACTTTAATATAATAAAAATATTGTCATAATTTTATATTAAGTCTAGATTTTAATTCTACAAGTGGATAATATTTTATATTTCCAATTTCTTATTATCACATATGTAATGTATTGAAGTGCATATAATCAGATTTGAGTATAATAGACAGGGGCATAATGTCCAAACTGTTATATGTCCAAAAACAGGACCATTTACATTTACATCTGAGTTAACAGAGAGTGATCCGAAGAAGAGAAATAAAAATGTAAAAAATAGATAAAACAGTTGTAAAACATGGTTTGCAGAAATCCATAATTTCAGACAAAAAAAAAAGTTCTTTTTTAAAAAAAAATATATTTGGAAATTAAACTAACTCATAAAGTAAAGAAAATTTAAACCAGAAGCTTGATATTTTCCTTTATATATATATATATATATATATATTTGAGATATTTTTCAAAAATGCAATCATCCAAAGATGAAAGTTTATGAAGTTGCTAAAGTCTCACAGGTGATTTATAGGAGCAGAACTCATTCTTACTTGGACACATAATGGGAAAATGTAAATGTGGGGGTAGGGAAGGAGGTACCATAACAAATGAAGGGCAGATTATAGTTTTTGGAGGTAAATATTCAAATGTATAAAGATATCTTCCACTGAATGCTGAAATCTAATGTTTCTCTGAGCCATGCACATTTTTCTTTTACTAAGTTCAACAAAGAAATGTTTGTCTTGCAGGCAGACAAAGCTAGAAAATAACATTTCCCATCAGCATCAACTCTCTTCTTATCATGGAGATGTTTACCTAGTCTTGAAGCTGTGACATATGGGAATTTCACACCTAGTGAATATATTTTCATGTAGCTTGTGGCATAAGAGTGTAATCATTAAAAGAATATACGCAAGTAACAGTAACTGCAACAGCTGGTGACATTTACCAATTAGAATTACAGTTCTTTAAAACACTTCATTCTTCTTTAATATGTGCAGGATAATTATCTTTGAAATTGCTGTGGAAAAAATTAATTTTCCTTTTAAACAGTTTCTGCTTACAGTACAAATGTGCCTGGATAAGGAAGATTATCTCTTCCTATTCTTAGTGTATGAAACTCTGTTTTAAAAACTCACCAAAATAATTGCAAACTAAGTATCTTTGCATATGGTGGGGAAAAACACATATTAAACACTGAAAAGACATAATAAATACTTCATTATCTCTCCATTTTGGATTAACTAAATTTATTTATTTCCTCTAAGCATATGAAATAGGAAAATAAAGCTATTATAAACACCACAATAAGAACAGTTTTGTATATTACATTTTTTTTTCACTTCATATATACATTAGATGTGTACCTCTGATTAAATGTCCCAAATACTGTTCTGCTCTTTGGGTTATTAATGATAAGAGGGAAAAAAAAGGTTAATATGGAGTTTTCAATTCTTTCAATAAAAAGAGAGAGAGAAAAAAAAAAAAGGAATTGGTTCCCTTAAACAAGCAGACAGAAGCTGAGATATATTTAAAGTATTTGTCACACTAATCACCATAGACATTTCATTACTAATAGTGTGGGCAGACTGTGAGCAACTCAGTCTCCACTTTTACACCCTAAATTTAAAATTATCTTCCTTTGATACTCTGGCAGAATATCTACTGTAGTTAAGAAACTATTGGCACATTACTGAGAGAAGATTTTAACCTGGTGTGTATATCTGGATTAATTTAAAAAAGATATTCAGCCCCAAAAGTTTCCCAAGTAGAAAAAAATATATACAATCATATTTTATGACTGATTAAAAGTTATTGTACACGTATTTGTTTTATTCAGAAAAGCAGACAAGATGTTTTGCCTACTGAAAATGAAAGGGAATCAAACAAAGAGATGAATGGAGAAGATGGAAACACAAAGACATCAAATAAAATACCAGGAAATGAAGAGCTGTAAATAGGGTTACTTTGTCACTGGTTACACAAGTAACTGAATACACTGGCAAGTGAATGACTTTAAACAAGGGTGTAGACTTCAGCACATTCTTTTTTAGGGTTAATCACTAGTTAACCTAGGGAGATGAACATGCTGTTTAGGGAGGGGGGGAAGAAATCCTTGTTAATTATATACTGCAAGTGCTCTTACTTCCTGCTGTTACACCTAATCCCACAGGTGCAGGTTGTCTCTTTTACTATTCACTGGTAGGTGGATCCAGCTCCACAGGCTTTTTTTTTGCTTTTTTTTTTTTGCCTTTTTTTTTTTTTTTTCTCTTTCCTATAGCAGCAAATTTAGACAAAGAAGGAACAGCTTAACCTTTCACAGAAAAACAGGAAAAGACTGTCACGGGGTATATTTAACAAGGAGGCAAATTTTTAAATATGTGATTCCAGTTTCAAAGATGTTACAGAAACTATATTGTGACTGACTTAATTTGAAAGATCACATTGCTCCCACTAGCAGAAGTTGCCTCTGGCACCTCGTCAGAAGCAACGCTGCCTTGTCCTGATTCTCAGGCATTCAAATATTTTGATGCTGAAAGGTCTACAACAAGTTTAGTGCTACCACTGATAGGAGATTTTCCCTATGGGAGAGATACAGCTAAGTTTCTTCACAGCTTTTTACAGTATAATAGTTTGTCACAAATCTCAGCAAAAGCCATTTATAGATACTAGTTATGTTTATTCTCACTTTGACATTTGTCACAATGTTTCTTAGTAGCAGAGAACATTAAATATACTCACATTCCTGATAATACCAAGAAAAACATCTAGTTTTATAGAACTGCTATCTTGTCAAAGCATTTTTTTTAAGGATTATAACAGATGTTACAGACCAGCTATATAATAACAACATAACAATGTGCCCCGCTCTCTACTTTGCTCTCCTCTTCTGCATGCGGGATGGAGATATAACCACAGGACTAGTAAAGCAATAAAATGAAAAGGAGTGATGACATAGAGAGGATATTGTGAGAAACGCAGCAGCTCCTTATTAAATGTCCACTACCAATTAAAATAGGAAACGGGAAAAGTTCATTGGCTGAAATTTCTCCTTTAGGTACTGCAATGTTCATCACTTGGGCTTTTTAATTGAAATACCATTCAAATATTTTTGAAATAGAAACCACTGGTATTCATATAATCTCTGACTCCATCATTTCTTATAAATCAAAATACATAAACTAGGCAGAAGGATGCACCATTTGTATAATCAGTTCATTTCCAATATATTTTCAAACAGTTATAAAAAAATCTGCTTTGCTTAAATGAAAAATGTATTTTCCTTGCTTCTTATATATCATGTAGATTAAGAAGCAACTTTGTCACAGTTTAAAGATGTGTGTTTTAAGAGAGGGCTGTCCTACAGAAACTAAGCTGTAATTCTGCAAGCATTTATGCAAATGCCTTTTCATATATGTATAGTTTCATGGAATCCAACCAAAGTGTAAAAGTATTTGCATCATAATCTTAATTCTCTGGTGTTAAGGATATTCAGCAAGCTGCAGTTATTGTGACAAAATCTTGCTCTTTTCTTCTAAGAGCACGATGTTCTACTACATTATTTGAAATTTCCAACTGATTAGTAGCCATCCTTTTGATCTCCAATTAATGGGTTTTCTTCAAAACAGATGAAGCAGTTTTCCTTCTGATTCTGCAATAGTTTATTTTTTATGGGCTTGGAAACAGGAGGGGAAAGTTTCCAGGTCTGGGTACACAAAGAGGGAAGAAGAGAGGTGAAAAACTGAGCGTGAGGATAACAATGGTTCTGTGCTTTTTATTTTGAAATAGATGTCTCCAGAAGAATCCTGCTCAAAAATGAATGACACAGTATTGCCACACCTCAATAAAGGCTGAATTCCCAGGAAAAAAAAAAATTAAAACCAATCAAACAAAAACTTTCATTTCTTAAAACCACTTAAGCGAGGTAATAGAAGTGTGAACTTTGGAAACAAGTATCTGGAAGACCTCAGTACATACGTGCCTGGTAGAAGGCAGAGTTCTCACCCTGGCCCTCATCCTGGCCTCTAAGATTTAAGAACAGGCAAAAAAGAATTATAGCAGACTTGGGTAACTCATTCTAAAAGAAGTTGTAGCTCATCTAAATTGGTGTTTGCATTCACAAACATCAAAATATAGCACTGTCAAATTCCTGAAAATTAAAACATAGCATTGCCAAGAAAATAAACTGATGTATTACTTGTAGTTTTTATGTTATTTTTATGTTATTTTTATGTTATTTTTATGTTATAACATTTTTATGTTATTTTTCTCCAAACGACCTGCTTTCTTTCTTGTGTTATTTCTTTCACCTAGAGAATGGCACAGTGTAAGAAATATCAAAAAACAAATAACATAATAGTGGCAAGTTATTTTCTTTACCATTATGGAAAATTGTTAGATATCATTGTCTTTACATTTCTCACACTGGATTATTCTGTACTGTTCCTAATATTTCTGTTGGAATTTCAGCTTAGAAAACTGACATAGTGCCCTATTCACTGCCATAGTGAATGCCAGGGGAGATCAATGAAAATTCCTTGTGCCTATGCACACACTGCTTGCTAAAGATGATTCTGAAAAATGGAGATTTATTTTGTATGCTTTCCTAAAGTTTTTTTTTTTTTTTTTTTAAATGAGGATTCTGCTTTTCTGGAATTATAATTCACTGCAAGAAATAACCAACAAAAGGATAGAGAGCAATATTGAATACTTTTATAAACAAATCTGCCTCCAAAAACTGCAAGTTGGAGTCTGCATTTCCTGTCTTGTCTCTGAAAAGTAAAAGAATTCCTTCTGGGAGGCATATTTTGTTATGACCGACTACTTAGTATCTAAATTGCACATTAATATTAACAGAATTAGCTTTTTCCTCAAAATGAGGAAAAGCTGACCAAGAATGTCCTTTCTCTTTCTTAAACTCCCATCATTTTTATTTTTATTTATCTTTTCGCTTTTTTCATCCTCTTTCTATCTCCTCCTATGTCTTAAACATTCTGCTCACTATATTTTCTTTAGATATCTCTTTGGTCTATTTTCCTCTTCTTTCCCTGTGAAACAGCATTCTTTTCTTCTTCACCAAATATTCAGCCTGAGAGTCAAAGATCAAAAACTCTGTTGTACTCACACATGTACAAAGAAAACCCAACAGCCGCTTGCCCTCCCATGCCCCTAACCACCTACCCCCTGACCCACCAAGTAATCAGCAGCCTGTGCTTCACAAACCCCAAGGACAAGGCTGAAGTGACCCAACAAGATTCTTGAATGAAGGTACATGACGATGACACAACATAGTTATCTAATAAAATGCAATTTCTCACCTATCAGACACAATATTCAATTAAAGGACTGACTGCATTTTAGAGTCCATGCAAGACATCTAAATACAAACAGAGAATCAGAATTTGCAAGTATTTATTCCCTGCCCCGCTGTGGTCACTTTTAAGTCACCTCAAGATAAGCAGGTGAGTGGTAACAAGGGACTGGAAGAAGTTTTAAGTGATACCTACTTAAAATACACCCACATGACAGGTGTTTAATTAACTTCAGTGCAGCCTTGCTAGGCTATCATTGAATGAGTAAGGGCACAGAATAAAACTCTCAACCCGTATTGCCCCTTACTAATGCTCACTTCTTTTCTGAGTCCAAGAGATGACTTTGTAATGTGTCAGATTGGTGTTTTTTTTTTTTTTTTTATCTACAAGTGGTGATTTTAGACTCTACTTCCATGAGTTCCACAAGTTGCCTGCTGTGGCAGTAGTGGCAGGACCCTGTTCCTCTTCATTGTCTCAACTGTACCTATGCAATGACAGGAGGAATGTGAAGAAGCAAATCCAAACCCTTACGAGCCCACTTCATATTCCATCAAGCCAAGGAAAATGTCCTCCAGAGTCTGAAAAAGGCTTGATGGGCAGAGCCACCCTCTTGCCAAAAATGCAGTTTACAATCTGGGGCTATGAGAAAGGTATGGGGAAGAGCATGGCATAAAGTATTCTAAAGAGGTATTCTAAATGAACTGCATTTGATTTAAGGTCATCCCCTTGAAGCAAGCATGGAACTTTTTTTTTTTTTTTTTTTAGTGAAACAAAGAGTGTTTATACAATTCAACAAAAAGGAAAAATCAATTTGTAACTGAATAAGAAAAAACATTGAAAACATTATCTGAAGACAAGTGTTGTACTCTGTTTTCTCATGAGTAAATGAAGAGACAAGAGAATAAAGAGAAAATATCAAACTCCATAAATAGTGATTTTCCCTTTTATTCAGCATAAATGGATTTAAAAACATCCATGTATACATTATATTGCAAGCATACATTATATTTTTTAGGTATAAAAATGTTGAAAAGATTTTTAATTGCTATACAGACCAGCATAGCTGTAGTTCTTCTGCATTTGTAATTGTATTTCTTGTAATATCATTAACATCATCAATTTAATCATTCTTTTTCCTATGCTTGGCAAGTAAGACCATCTTAGAATCATATTAAAAAGTAATTAGAAAATACATTTGTGATAGAACAAAGGACATTTTTTGACAGTTATATTGACAATATTTGTCTGATAATTTCTTCCTTATGTTTAAGGAGAAAAATATTCTAATAGAGAATAGCTGAGATTTATTTTTATGTTTAAAATAGCTCCATCAGGAACCCGTTTTTAAATTTCATCTACACCACATGAACACTGCATAACAAGAAAAAATCAAATAGGGATTCGGAAAACCACGGATCAAGTAAGGAATGCAAGATTTGGTCCTGAAATAAGAAATTAATGAAAAATGGATAGACAAAGAGGATGTTTTTACTTGTTGCTTTGAGAGTTAGTGGTTGCTTAAGGGAAATGAAAGGCTGTAGTGGCTGTTTAAATACTCTGTGTAATGAATCTCTGTAGGAAAGAAAAATGTGAACAATGAAAAATGTGAGATAACAAAACGTTTGTTTTTTTGTGAATTATCATTAACACTAGAAAAAAATAGAAAGAGTTGTACTTACAGGAACATCAACGTATTTTGCAGCTGCTTTCACCTTTAGAAAATTAAAAATAAAACAACACATGATAAGTGCTTATAATTAAGGACTGTGCTTAATTTTAAATTCAGCAACATTAGGAATTCAGACACTCACAGTGAATGAAACTAATGATGAGAAGAAAGTGCCTTCATCGTATCTTGACAGTTTGGACAGCACACCTTCTAACACTGAAACAACCTGGAGGAAAGGCACAAAACAAAATCCAAATGCCCAAGATCAAAAAAAAAGGAAAAAATCAGATGAGAATGTGAGCTTTGCCTCATCAGTCTATTACTGTGCAACAAGGTGAGGCAATTTGCAAATAAGATTATTTACTCTATTTGACAAAATGCTAAAATCATAGCTTTTTTTTCAATTTCACCTACAAAACAAAATGATGGAAGTCACAATGTAAATAGAAACCCAACCACAAATTCTCCTGAGATGAGTTTGCTCACTCCTGTATTTAACCACCAAGTTAGAAGCAGCAAAGTGGTAAGGTTTACCTCCTTATCTTTATTATTCACTTGAAATTTAGGGCTAATTTTATCCAGCAATGCGATAGCACCACTATTTTTTGTCAGTCCATCTTCAGCAACAGTATATGCTGTTGAATTATTACTGTATGGCCAGCAAGTTACCAGGCATATGTAGGTCCTAAATCTCTAGTATGTGGTGCCTTTGCCTAACAGTTTCACATTCAATTCTATGAGCAGCATGACTATCCAATAATAGGGATATTGTAAAGACCCTTTGCCCAAAATTTATTTTGGGGGCTACAAAAATCTTTCAGGCCTTTGCATCAGCTGTAGCTTGAATGTTAAAACTTCTCCAAATTACTCTAAAAGCAAAGAAAAATGCTTCTTATGTTTCTTTGTGATGTCACGTGGCTCAAGTAACATAAAATATGTCAGCAGTTTCATGTGTGCCCATTTATTTTTCACATACGAATTGCCTTCCAGTTTATATAAAGATTGTTTTAAAAGTCATCACTTGCTCCCAATACAGTAATTCCCACAACCACAAGTATCATTTTATGAGTGTGAGGACAGAACAAAATTCCATCTGGCATGCTGTTAATGGGCACTGTAACAGTGTCACAACAGTGTCACCTCCAGAGGAACCGAGACCATCACTTTACAACAAGCCCTGCTCTTAACAGTTCAAAGAGCAAGAGCAAGTGCAAACCTACATTTGTCATTTATCAATCCAGCTTGTCATATTTAGAATGATTAATTAAGACTGTAGTATGTAAGTGCTGGTTAAGAAATAAAACTGCACCCAAAGCTACCCAAGGGGATGGCAGTTGTGTTTGTACCCCATGCACAGTGTAACTGGAGCCCCTTCTTAGGCCAAATACCACCTCTCTGCTTTGGCATCACAAGACTGTGGGATGCTGCTGTTCCTACGATGCTGCTGTTCATACACTGCACTCTCCATATTCATTTTACCTGATGGACAAGGACTCTTCCTCCAAACGGATGCTGGGTCTTATTGTAAGTCAACATTGTCAAAGATCTACTGTGAAAAGGATTGATTTCACGTGCAGCACATCCATATCATCAACAAATGGTTTTAATAAATTGGATGTAAAAGAACGTAGAGCTGTCTCAATTTCGTTTTTTTTAACTTAGTTATGGAGCTGGTCACTTGTTTTCCAAAATCTCACTGGACAGACTTGTGAAGCTCTAAGAGCATTTCTGGGTATGCTGCACATTTTCTGAAGCAGCTCTCCTAAGACACTGTGTGCTTTGTGCCACTGTTTTGTGCTGTGCCTGTGGTTTGTTTAAAGCTTTAGCTCAGAAAGTTTTGCTCATATAATTCACTGTCTAATCTTTACTAAGTATAGTCTCACTGTACTATGAGTATTCTTTTCCTTCTCATAGGTGACTGTTACACCTAAAATAAATGTCAAACACATACTTTATTTAAACATGCAGGAAACATTTTAATTCAGAAGAAAAAGCTAAGAAAAAATTGAAATACATTAGATAAACATTGAAAGTACGTGGATATTATACATGTTGACAGACATTTTTCCTGATCAAAATCAAGAGTGAGGACTCAGTCCTTCTCTCTTCCCTTAGCATCTTTCCTCCTTGAAATGGAAGCAGTCTAGATATCACTGGCATTTCACATCTCAAGTGAGAAGGGGCTGATTAAGCTTCTAACGACCAGCCAGTGACAGAAAATATTTGTTCCCGTTCTGAGATTTCAACATCTTCTGATGGCATATATGGTAACTAATAATATAAAGCTTGTAATTGTTTCTAGAAACTCTTGCATATTCATCCACAAGGAATATGACTCTTTTCTTCCATCCTTTATAATCTCAGTTATTAAGAACAGCTTAATTACAGAGATGAATTCAATTGCAAAGATGAGCATTATACTCTCATTACATTCCCCTCTCTCCTCCTTCTTCAATAACACTTAAAAATCAATTGACAGACTAGTCCTGAGTGATGACAAGCTGCAAGTAGAACGTGAAACTCTTGAACCATTTGTACTTATGATTACATAAAAAAAGAGATTTTTTTTGGGGGGGGGGCGGTGAAGTATTCATTTTTAAATATTTATCAATAATTGGACATATTTGGCTTAAACTTCCAAAAAACGACAAAAACTTTGTTTTCAGTTCATGTACTAGCAGGCTGGATGCCAATCAGAACAGAGACCTCTCTCTACCCCCCACTATCAAGCTGTGAAAAAACGAAAAAAAGGCATACTGAAAATAACCTAAGGGTCTTATTTGTCTCTAACTCACAAATTGTGAATGTATATCTAATATATCTTATTCTGAAAAGCACATATTTCTGGGTAGTTTCTAATGAATAGATAACATCTTGTAAAATCTTTCTATTCTCCCAGTGTCATTACTGTGTCATTCAAACTATTGGTGACAGAAAGCTTTGTCTTTCATATTAAGCACGTAAGATTTTACTGCAGTAGAGATGTGACAGTAACCACTAGACATTGTTTAATTTTCCTTCATGTATTTTTCAAATATTTATAGCCTGTAAAAACATATTTGCTTTTTAAGTGTTAAGAATTGCAAAGTTATTGTCAAGAATTAACAACATACTAAATATTTTTTAACTACTTTTTAAATTTTGTGGAGCAAAAACTCATTTAGAAGTTATGTAATTTTTGCATGTTATCTCTAAATATTAAATAATTTAAATATTTCTTACAATACGAGTTTTATATGGAAAATTAAACAACGCATCAAATTAAGGTTCTAGTACTAAAGATAATATGGACATTATCAAATCCTATTAGTTCTGTTAGGTCTAGCAGTTGTCAGCTATAATATAATACATAAGAAAAGCTAATCTGATAAGTAAAGTGCATAGAAAGTGTTCTTGCAATTTATAAAATTTAATTTCATAAATTTAATGTTTTTCGGATGAGTACTACATACAAACTACGTTTCCCTCCCCCAATGTCATTACATAAGGCATAGAAAAATTGTGTGATACCAAAGACATTTTAGAAATTCAAATGAGAATTATTTTATTATAAATAAGAATCTAAACTGTTTTACCTTAGAAACAAGAAGTGAAATAATTTCTTTAACAGTTTCTTCAATCAAGTCATCTATTTTTGAATGGTATTGTTGCTGTATTTCAAAAGATACAGAAAGCATTAGTATGTATAGAAACACACACTTTTGTCATAAGTCATAAATGCTACAAAGCTGATAACCCTGCCAGATCAGATTTACTTAAAATTATCATTTTGAACATCTGAAGAATAAACCCTTGAAAACGATCCACCCAATCAACACTTGCTTACATTCAGTGTTGAAAATTTTCCCATGTACACTGTTGAGTTAAGCAGCTAATGGGGTTATTATTTAGATGAATTGAGTTCTTTTTCTTATTCAGGCGAAGGAATGTGAAGGATACTTTTTGTCTTCTCCTATATAATTAAGGTGGCCACGTATTTTTCCTCTAAAGGGTTGGTTTAGCAGGGAAGCAAAAAGACTAGAATAAGATTTAATTAATACAGCATTTCATGTCTGACAACTCTCATTCATAAGTTATTTTAAATGTCCTCTAAAAATAAAATGAGCTCCAATTGTTCTTCTTAAAAGAGCCTTTTTGTTAGCACAGTGAGCTGCAGTTTATACAAATCTTACAATATGCTCAAGCAAGGGCAAAATTAAAATTTCATCAACAAAGTAGAATAGATGGTAACAAATTAACAGGCCACAAAAGGCATAATAAAATAGACTTCATTCTCTGTAGTCTTTTTCTTCTTTTTTTTTCTCAAAAAAAAAAAAGAAGGTGCCTTTAAGTAAATGCTATTTAAAATAAATCCGAAAGACTTTTTAGATAATGCTACAGAGTTCCCTCCTGAAATTAGCAGGAACTAGGGATCCCATTCTGTCAAGGAGGCACATCAATTTAAACACTAATTCTTCCTTTAGAAACAGTTATCTGACAGCAAAGATTGTCCCCAATAGCCACTTCACAGAAAATGTGACTTGTAAAGACTAACCCTATCTTCATAGTTCAAGGCTACTTGGAACAGCTAACAACATAATGCCTGGAGTAAAAGTACTGAGGTCAGTATAAACATTAGCCTAACTTAGCAGCTGCTAGCTGAATACTTTTCAGAGTTGTAAGTTTTTGAAAGCTATTTTTCTTCTGTCTCAAAGTTGCCATACAGATCAAAACATTAAATCTGGCCTACCTAATATATTTAGGAACAATTTTCTAAGCAGTACCCCTATTGAATTGGCATTTAAAATAAAAGAAAATAAAACCATGAGATTTACCCACATATATGTATCTCTTTCAGTTACTATTTACTGTTCTCAAAGCATGTTCATTTTTGTTCTTAATTTCTTCCTTCAGGGATTAAAAATACTTGGGAGAACATGAATACACCTCTCATAAAAATATCAGCACACATTGCTGATGAGTGAAGGAACACATTAGAAATATATCAGAAAATCTTTCAGTAGTTCCAGATATATTTGTTTCTAACCATTCAGTCATTTCTTGACCAATACAATATTTTCCTGATTTGCTAGGCAGCTACATCACCCACAACTGCCTGTGATATTTGTTGCTTACACAGCCTTCAGAAGGCATTGGTTCCTTGTTCTCCGAAAATATCAATTATTTACATCTCCCAAGACATGCTGCAAAAGCACACATACTTTAGTGACTTGTGAAAGAAAACAGTTGTCCCTCTCATAACTCCACTGTATGCTGAAGTAATGAATCTATGAATATTCTAGGACCAATTCCTATATATTTCTGCTTTTTCTTTTCTTTTCTTTTTTTTTTTTTTTACTATCATCATAAGACAAATATAATTTACTAGCAATGGAATACAGTCAATACATAACTGTATTATGTGACTAAAAAAAGGAAGATGAAACAAATCCCATCAAATTAAAATAAAAAACAAATAACAACAAAAAAGCCCACAAGCTTCCAAAATCATGACATTGCTTTAAAAATAATATTTGATTCTTCTTTTTTACCCTGAGTTTCATTGTACATTTTTTTCAAAATTTATCTTGCAAATTGTGAGATCAGAAATTTCTTTAAGCTCTTCTCCCCAATTTTAAGATAACAACCCCCTCCATGAAACAAACTGCAGATCTTCATGGAAGATTATCTGACTTCAGGAAATGAGCTGCTAGGAAGATGGCAAGTACCACACAACTCATAAAACTGTATGAGCTGGCAAGGTTGCACACATGATCCTGAAATAAGCATCTCTAGGAAGATTTTCTGCTTCTGCCAACCTTGACAAGACCACACACATCTATGGAAGGCTATGTCTTTATGCTCCTCTGATGGCTGATGTGGCCAAAAAACCACGTGGGGTCTGAATCTAGACAATTCAGCTTTCACAGCTAAATGATCTCAATGCACCTTGCAGAGTCTTTCAGAATGATCCTCTCCATGCCCCTACCCTGAAGAAGATAATCCAGAATGTTCCTTTTCCTCTCTAATTGCTCTTGAGTACTTCTCAGTAAAACAGCAGGTGCAGCTACAGGAGTTACCTGGGAGAGAATTATTTAGTGGCAAAGTGTGTCATGGGATGTAAGCAAAGAGTATTTTTTTTTCAGGACCACCTAGTGGGTCTTCCAAATACTTTATTATTATTACTATTATTAATAGTAACAATAATTATTACTTAATAATAAATTAATAATAATTATTACTATTAATAGTTTATTATTATAATAGCTATTATTACTTCCTTTGAGCAGAATGCCCCAATCACATGTTAAGTAAGAATTCCCTCCTATCCAACAACACAGAGGGAAAACTTTCACATCTGTCTCTATTTAAAGAAATTGCATGACTGCTTAGAGTATAAGGCGTGAAAAAATCATGCTGTTTTCAAGGAGATATTTGCATTTTGATATTTGATAAATTGCAGAATAAACTCTAGAAATTGTCTGATGTATGTTAAGTATTGAGCTTTTGGATGAATGAACAGCTCTCAAATTTTTTTGCTCAGGGCTTAAGGAATGTTATTTTTGATTGGCATAAAAGATCATGCCAGAAACTGAAAACAAATGAGGAAAAGGAAAAGAAAGGAAACATGGGAAAGGTATTGAGATCAGGTGGCCAAGTACAATTTATTGGAAATGCTGGAAATCCTATAAAGAGGCCAGAAATGCAACTGAGGATGTTACGAGATGTTTATTCTGCCTTTTTTCACAGACAAGGATGATTTGAGAACTAAATGTTGTCATCAAGAGTTCAAAACAATTGTGGTACGAAGAACAAGCAACTGAGAAGCCTATTGTGTCTTACTCTTCCAAATAGGCCTTGAGAATGGGAGATATTAGACTACAATAACTCAAATTTTGTGAGGAAGAAGTACATTTCCACATTATCTCATTATTTCTGATATGTGAAGAATTTGGGAATTTTTTGCCTTATGAGATGGATTGGGATGAAGTTTAATTTGGGGATTTTGAAAGATATCACATCACATACAGGTTCATCACATATATGTTAAATTTTAGAAGTCCATCACTGAAAAGAATCACAGGAAGCACTGGGTGTCATGGTCAGATCCTGCAAGGAATAAGGGCTCTATTTTTGTTTTAGTAATGTGAAAAGTGAGCAGGTTTCTGAAAATGATCTGGTGACTGTCTGCAGTCCAAAAGGTATCTGAGAATGCCAAAACTTAGCTCCGAGAATTGGATGACAATGCAGACATCCTCTGCAGATGCAGAGTAGGAAGAGGAATGGCACATCTATGGAGAACAGGATTAGACCATCTGTCTGCAGGTCTCTATCAAGGTATTATTTTTCCCTTAAGAAGGGTGTGCATGTATGCAATTGCAGGTTATTGCTCGGGCACTAAGCGAAAGATGCACCAGCACTGCCTAAGGTGAAGACTTGGTCCTTGAGGCTTGCTTCTGATGAACCTGAAGCAACCTTGTTGTTATTGTGTGTCACTGTGGAGGGAAAACATCCAAAGTAAGACAAGACATAGTATCTGAAGAGCAGATGAGTGAAAGATTCTTCTGGACCCACTCTAAGAGGATGAATGAAAAAAAGCATTTAGAAGCTGCTCACGAGTGTCTAGCAGGGGCAGGCTGTAAAGGACTACACATTAAAGCTACATTACCAAATTAGCAAGAAAAGCAATACAGCATTCTGAAACAAATAATGGTGATTAATAACCAAAGAAAAAAATGTAGGTTAAAAAAAAATTAAAACACTTACCCACTGACTAGCAAACTGGTTCATGTCATGGAAAACCAAAAGGAAAAACAGAGATGACAGGGCAGAACAGGAAAATGATGAATATCTCATTATATTGGAAAAAAAAGAAAACAATTACATGGAATATAATAATTTAAAAAGATGAACCAATAAATAATGAAGAGCACTGTACAGAGATGGAAAATGAGCAAAAATAATATGACCAAAATTTAAGTCTTTTTCACTGCACAGATTATTCCCATTAAAAAACAACATATGAAGGGGAGTAAGTAGACAGTGAAATCTTTATATCCTTTGAAAAAACACCTGTGTTTTTCTCACTGTGGAGAACCTACAGTCCTGTCAGTAGATTACTGCCAAAAATCTTTCTCTCAAATTTAAAGAAACTCATTAGATTACCTGGTTATTTCTTCAGTTTACGACATTTGAAGCACTTATGTATATAAGTACAAACAAATGCCAAATGTAAGTAAAAACAAATCTTACCTAGTTAAAGTTCATCTGCAAAAGACAATCTTTTGGTACAATTTTACTACTGTGAAACAGTCATGAAGTGGGCTGATTCTCTGTTGTTACCCAAGAGAAATTCCTGCAGAGACTTTCAGCCATTAAATCCCCTGCATTTTTTTCAGATGAACAGAAAAAATCACCTAAATCACAGAATCTACATCGTCTCTGAAGGAAGATGAGCAGTTGTATCTTGAATGGTGCTTTAAGTAAGCAATCTATGCATGCTCCCCAAACATGATACAAGTTAGAAATTAATCTACCGAGTATATTTCAGATTAACTCAACACAGAATTAAACAAAAAATTCCACTTACCTCTTGCCCACCATCAAGAATACAGAGTTTAGCTGTCTGTTTTTTGGCATCAACTAAGACATTAAACATTGTGCACAGAGAAGAAGGAATACGCAGGTCTGTTGATTTGTTTGTCTTTTGTAGCTTCAGTTCAAATGCAATTCTTGTTCTGTTTAAAACAAAAATTCATGACATGAATAATTCTCTGACAATTTGGAAGAATGGATACACAAATTCATAAAACTTACTAAACATCCTGACCAAACAGTTGCATGTTCTGACATTCTAAGATGTTACAAATGCAATTCTGTAAGTGCAGAATAGTCACTCATTCAAAAGGCAATTGCATTGATTGTAATCTCAAGGTTCTGCATGCTCAAATTTCAGCTGATCATTTCAACTATACCTTTTGACACAGGCTTCTATCATGTCAGTGGCCATGAGTTTAAGTCTTTGCTCTAAATGGTGGGCAAATTCTGGTTCTGGCCAGTGAAGATCAAAAACAAACATTTGCAGAGCGTCCAGTTTCCAAAAAAGATCTTCTGACGTAGCTGAGCCATTGCTGTAAGAAACAAAACAAAACAAAAGCCCCAAGAAACAGAAGATAAATGTATGGCTGTCTATCCCAGCCCCCACATTAGTATTCAGATAAATAAGATTTCCTTATCACCCCATACTCCTCCTTCACATCACTGTATCTAATAGCACAGTTGCTCTTATTGCAAGAAAGTGAATATGATCACAGAAAATTTACACTGAGGTGAAATAAGTAGTTTTCTCATATGTTAACTAAGAGGTATGACAGGTTAGGGAGGTAGGTGGCATGACAAAGACCATGGAAAAATGAAGTAGCTCAAATTTCAAATTCAGACAGAAAAATAATGGCTGAAGGAATATTAATAAGGGCCTTTTCCAAAAGATTTAACATTTTGCATATATATTTGCTTACTCAGGTAAGTAAATCAACCAAAGAAATCAGGATGCTACCAGTAATATCTTGAAAGAGATATCCAGACAAATACTCTCTTGATAAATGCTCATTATTTCTAACTGAGGGAGTAACATCATATCCCAGTAGAAAACAAGAACAGACAGTAATTCAAGGGAATTTTTAAAGAAGTAGAACATGGGATTGATGTGACTCTATATAATCTCATGTTATTCAGTTTTATAGATGTTCTTCCATTCTGAACCAAATGATAACTTTTAAGATGCTTGTTTGTGATAAGGGAAAACAACTTGGAGATAATCTTATCAACAGCTATAGTTATGCTTCCACTGCAAATGCAGATTACGTATATTTTTACGACATATATTTCCCAGCCTGGGTTACTGTGCGGCATCACACTCTTCTGCACAGCTTTCCAGTATGGACAGTGCTCTTAGAAACACAAACACTTGAAGCTCAGCTTGGCAATTTCAATTCAGATCCAAATATCTTACATATATTACAAGTGCAATTTTCTTTCTTCTACTTTCTGATGAAAGAATATATTTATCAGAGTGTTAAGTGGACAGAGCTCTAATGGAAGGAATCAGTGAGTTCCAGACTTCCAATGTCAGATTAACAAAAAAAAGGGCAAATAATCCCAAACCAGAAAGGATACTTGTCAAGTAAATTATTTATCAGAACTATCATCCTGCCATTTCTTTCATGCCAGAACTCCCGTTGAAGCCAATGGCAGTATTGTCTGAATAAAGTCTACAGGATTGGGCTAGAGTTAAACAAAATGCAACGGTTGCAATTTGTTCCTTTTCTTGGGGTTCACAAAACCCAGTGATGCTGCACAATAGGTGCTGTGACTTATTATATGAATTGTTCTTTCACTGATGTATGTTATTCCCTCACCTTTCTCGGTGCTTTAAGTCTACCTGGTGCCACTTCAACTTAGGGTCTGACCCTGTGGAGGTGTACGTGTGTAGCAACTCTCAACCTTATGGGCAGGTTAGTGAAAATGAAGTAACGTGTGTGAACGGCTGCAGCGCTGGACTCACCATGGCAGCTCTTAGGGATGAGCTGCCTTCTGTGACCCTGTGTGTGCAGGGGGGTTGAACTATAAAGGTCCCTTCTAACCTTAACAATTCTATGACTATGACCTATAACATCTGAGTAATCCACATCCTCAAACATAGCATCACTAATACTATTTTTGAACCAGGCTAGCCATGCTAGTGATAAACTGAAGCAAAGGTTGGAGCAGCCCATATATTCAGGGCTCTGCAGAGGTGGCATGGATGCCGTAGGAGCACTGCTTTGGTCTTACAGGGCCCCACCATTTTCCAGATCCATATATCTTCCTGTCTTAGTGAGTGCTGCTACTACTGCTGAGCCATGGCTGTACTCTGCAATGAGGTCTCAGTGTCACAAAGGCCACCCTATGGGCACAGGTAAGACAGCCTGGCTGGTTAATGGGTACTGACAATAAGTTTCTCCATCTGAGAAAAAAAATAGATCCCTCTTCCCCAACAGTGATTTTCACTTCAGTTTTTAATGGTGCTTTTTTTAATGTCTCCATTGCACATTGGAGTGTATTCCACAATTTAACAGAGAGCTCTTCTCATGTTGTTCATATTTTTTTCCACTTATTTTAAGTCATAATTGTTAACTTTCTACAGTATTGTGTCCCTGAAATAAAACAGTAGAAACAAGCAGAAGGCCCAGGAGACTGCTAGGATTTCAACTTGCATGGGGACATTACCTGCTAAGGTTACAGTTGAACAGAAAACATTACTGTATGCTGCCTAGTTTAACTAAGAACATGAATATCAAACCACTAAATCTTCCCAACAAATCTGTAGTTCTGATAGAGTGTTTCTTCAGCTACACGATAAGTAAATATTGAGGATCTTTTTAATATCTGCTATGTTTGTTGGCAGTGAATGAAGCTGCAGATGATACATCGTACTCAATATTTGATTCTAAAGTGACTAAGACAACTTATGTGAGGGATAGCATAAAAAAGACAAATATACAATGACAGCAATGGGGACAATATACAGAATCTCTACATATTACAGTCGATAAGAATATATATTTTCTAGAAGACAATACACACTTTCTTAAGAAACAGAATTACCATTTTTATTTACCAAATGTACTATTTAGACTTTTTTTTTCTTTAATACTTTTTTCTTTTAGCCTACTGGAATTTCAAATAAAATTCTTTAAGACCTAGAAGGACTCATGCACTCTCAATAACATCAATGTATTCTTATGCACGTTCGCTCCCTGGTAGCCACTTAATTTGGTTTCATTATACTACCAAATAACTGTTCACAATTATAATAAATGTAATAAAAGCCACAGATTCATGAAACACTATTCATTCTCTGAAAAACACTAATTCATTCATTCTCTTTTCATATAATTTTGAGGCCCTGTTCTTCAATTTATTTGGCATTGCCCAATGACATTTGAATTTGCCTAGTGTATTATACTACTAAGATGAGAAAGGAAAATAATCTCCTACAACTGAAATAAACCGTTCCTAGATCAGACATCTTTGTGAAAATGTCTAATTTGTTTGTTAAATGCTGCAGAGAATTGAGTTTTCAATCAGCTTGCTACTGTTCTTTGTACTATCTACTTGCTTTATTTGGACTTTTGGAATTTTTTGGCCCTTGGCCAGCCAAGTATTAGAAATAATACTAATCTTCAGCATATCCTTCAATACCCTGAAGCAGTTCTCCAGCCAGTATAGTTGTTTTCCCTAATAGCTATGTCACTTCAGTTCTTAATACTGTTAGAATGTAACAAAATGAAGAGCTGATCCTATTCTGGGAGCACCTGTTATGAAAGACTGTTTCCTCTGCATGGCAATACAGGCCTCTCTGGCAAGAGCAGCATAACATTAAAGAATCCCAAATCTATGCACATCATTGCAGAACACTTTTTTTGGTTGTCAGGAAAAATTTTTTGCAGTTGAAAAATTTTTATTTGAACAATTATGTGGTGTAAGGAATAGAATAATACTACTCTAGCAGGAAATAAAACTGCTAATTTATGTTATTGCTACAGTCAACATAATTGTTTATATATTTAACATCAAGCATGAACTCGAGTGCTTTGCTGATCAATACTTAAGCTTTCATCTTCAGTATTTTTTGTGGAAAAGCTGTTGTCTGTTTGTCTCCTTTATCTTTTCTATCTTTTGCCTTTGATATACAGTAAGAATAAAATGAAGAATAAAAAACCACAAGGAGCTGCAAGCAATTTCTTAAGCACCTACTGACAGCTGAGAGACACAGCTTTCTACTAGGTTTGCCAGCTACCTAAGCAGCAGCAATTAGTCAGGCAGTCTACTAATAGAGCACACTGGCTTCGAGGTCACCACACACTTGACTCCAGGGTAGATGTAGAATACGTCAGTACTTGCCTAGTTGCCACACTCCTCAGAGAATCTTGGGATATGAAAATATAGCAGAAATATTAAATATCTAAGGGCATACTGAAACAATCACAAGATGCAAAATCATTGGTCTCTATTCCTATAGAATTTACTGAGTGATTTACTAATGCTGATTTAACAAATTACGACATTTTTTTAAAGATTAGTACTGACTTATTATCCATTAGTATTTTGTGAGGAGTGTTTCACATAGGTCATCAAAACTACCTCCTTTGACAGCCCCCAGCTTGTAAGCTCTAGCGCCTTTATGCATAAACATATTTATAGCTTGGATGGACAATTGAGTTTTTTTTCAACAGAAAAGGACCCTCAGTTATTATAGTCAATGGTACTTGCCACAGCTCTTCATTATCTACCAATGATGGGAGAAATGATGGAACAGAGCTATGGTAAGACCCTTGAAGGTGTTAGGAAAACTATTACCTCACGCTTAGTCATGTTTAGTTCAACACTAGGCAACATGAGTTTCAAGTAACTAAATTCTATTCCTTGATACTTCTTTCTTTAAGCATGAAAATATTTTTGGAAGAAAGAAATTTGGCCCACAATTAAATATGGCCCATATCCTCCAGTCGTTTGTCTCTACCTCTAACTACCCATCCTCCTCAACACAAATCACAGTCTCCTTTCACTTGAGTAGTGGTTATCACCATGGCAAGAACATATGTAGCACTACAGATGCAGCTCCTGATAACTGTGCTGAAATGTGGAATTCAAAAGCACGCACACGTAAACAGAGAAGTTGGGCAAGATTGCTCAGACACATTCAGAAAAGATCCCTTCGTATCACAAGCAGAGCACAATGATTGCTCCAGTCAGTCTCTCTGTAGCTCAGTTAAGGCTGAAGAAATAGAGCTGACACATTTCCTTTGGTAGCTGCCATTTCTGGGCAGAAGACAGAGCAAACTGTGCCTGTGAGAGCACGTTATCTTATCCACATGTTTTCTTAGCCTTGAGTTTGGCTGACCTTAAAGTACTAGAATGACAGACAATCTTTGGTCTGCATTTCCAATATCTTTGGTTAGTGAATTTATCTCATGTCTGTACTGAAAAATAACAGCATATAAACAAAATCATAAATAATTACCACCACCCACAAATCAAATTTTATTCAGATCAAAAAGACAGACATGAAATTTAAAATATGAAAAGAAACACAGGTGCAGTTTAAAGTAACACATATGAAGTAATCAATAATTAAGAAAAAACCCTCATTCTGGCTGATTAAGAGCTTTTACACAATATTCAAGTTTTTTTTTATCCTGTTACTATGATGTATTTAGCCAAAACTAGCTGCAAATCACAGTGCTCTGCATGTCTAGCCAAGGTGTCCTCTGAGTTGTCCTCTCCTGAGACCAATCAAGAAAAACAGACTACTACACATAGCACTTTCCTCTTTTAATATCTCTCTTTCCAATGTCCAATAATAAAAGGTTAAGCAAAACAACTGAAAATGAGATAATGACCTTCCTAAGTGCTGTTATAAAGAGGATATGTTTTCTGACTCAAAAACAATGTGCTCAAAGAAAAAATAGAAATAGCAACAGTGAATTAAAAATTATACACAATATTCTCTAGTAATGTTCAAAGAATTTTAAGTGATAGAAAAGAAAGTATAGTCTAAAATTTATCAATAAAGTATGTGAAGAAAAGCTTAACAGTGTTTAACTTTTCAGATCTTTCAATAAAAACTACTAGGATGGCACATAACAGCCCTGATGAACAGATACGGACTAAAATGTGAGCTTTAGAGTATCTTTGAACAAAGTCTGACAGAGAGAGTCCATTCTGAAGGTTTTATGCTAGTTAAGCTTACAGAATATGAAAACTCTTCCTGTTACATTGAAAATAGATATAGGTAGGACTTTCCATTCTTATTAAGCATGTGAATGTAACTCATTTAAGTCATAGGTTATCTTCTCTCATTCTTTCGACTGTAAACTATAAATTATTAAAGACTAAACAAGAAATCCAACACAATTCAGTGATGTACTTCATTATCTTCTTGTCAAAGCTTCAGTTTTGTGGCCTGGACCCATGAGGCACCATGAACTGGGGAAGAAAGACTTGATGGCGTCAGAGGAGAGCAGGAGGTACCTACAACAACTGATAAACTCTGAAATTTCGGTGCTTACTCTCTCCCTCTGTTGACTACCATCTATCTAAAGTTCATCACACAGACAGGGAAAAACAACAGGAAACACTGGGTTTTGCTAAAATAGGCACAGGAGCTCAGGTTTTTGGTTACTCTGAAACATTAATGGGAAAGAGCTTTTATGGGAAAAGAAGTTTTTTGGAAAGAAGTTTTTGGGAAAGAAGTTTTTTTTTTTTTTTTTTTTTTTTTTTTTTGTTTTGATTCAAACAAAATACATTCTTATGAAGTACTTGGACTTTCAAAAGAATTTAGGTCAACTGATTTTTAAAACACTGCCTGAATTCCACAGTATTTGACAGATCAAAAGAGTCACCTTTGAAAGTATATGAAGAACCAGACAGAATGGAATTTGAGTAGCAAAAGATCAATGAGTCTGTATTCACATCTGAAATGACTAGCATATGCACGTCAGGAAACAGCATTATTATAGAAAAAGCAAAAAATACAAAGCCATGGTTTAGGAGAAGTCTTGACAACTTTTTAGGGGAATTAGCAGAAAAACTACCATAATACTCAATGGCCAAGTACCAGAAGCCTGTCTGAACACAAAATATCAACTCTCACAATAATAGACTGAGGTTCGCTTGTTAGGAATACCTAAATCCATCTTAAAACATGAGAAATTTTATTTGTCTTGAACTCCTATTATCGAGATTTCTATCTTGAATGTATGAATAAGCATTCATAGCAATGAATGTAATTTACATTCATTAAATTACATTCAGCTCCCTCTAAAACAATTTTAGCTAAATCATGGTACTTATTGAGTCTTCATGTAATCTGTAATGTAACTATGGGATTATTTGCACAGAGCATGGCATGTCTGCTCCACTTTTTTTTTAGAAAAGGACACTGAATAGTTGACGATAAAATAAAAAGAAACATGTATTGTTTCAAACAGACAAAGAAATGAATGAACTTCTATTCCACATACTTATTTATCTTTACTATTTCTCTGTAACATGGAGATTTAATCTAATGGCAATATTGGCAATCAACTGTTGAAATGATTTTCAGAATAAATTTGTATATACAATGGCTTAATCAAACCCAGGCAAAAATATGATGGGCTGCCTTGATTTACAAAACTGTGGTCTAAAATCTCTTATTCTGGAGGTTCCCCACTGCTTATTAATTCAGAGGGCAATTAAGTTGTTTAAGGTACTAAACATCATTCGTACTACAATAGACCTTTGCCAAGTTGATTTTGTAAGCTCTCAAGTTTAAAACTGCTACAATTTAATGCACTAAAAAGCGCAACTCACTAACAGTCCATGCCTGGCTCACTCCCAAGAAATGATAATTTCCAACTAAGAGATCATAAAAAACATGCAATCCAAATACAGCTGCACAGAACACTAGCAAGGCCATGCAGAGCTGACATACAGTCAGAAGGTTATTGAAGAATACACACGTGGAATCATATAAAGAAGTCATCCAGGTTGGTGTAGTAAAGCTAGGTATTTGTGGAAGATTAAGAGGCAAACTTGGAACTTTTGGAAGAGCTACATTAGGAAGACTGTTGGTGATGTTCCTGTGGAAATAGATAACGTAGGAATATAATAAAAAAAATAGAATATTTAGAGAGCAACAGGGGAGAACACTTGATTAGACAGAAAGCTACAGGTGGGTGCTTGGTTCTGATCCTGTAGAAAGCACTTACTTGACAGGTTGCCATGACTCTTGTTCAAGACCTCTGTGAATGGACTGGGCAATTGATGATTCCATGAGATCGATGTAGCGGATGACCAAAGGAACAAAAATTTCTTGTAAGTGCTTGTGAAACTTCCCATTGCACAAGAACACTTTAAAAACACAAGAAATACAAACAAAATTGTCAAGGCTTTTTCTCATTTATTGCTATAGGCAAAAGTATGTCTTAAAATTTTTCTAGCATTTTTTAAATATGCAAAAGCATTTTAAAGTCTTAAAATTTTTCTATCATTTTTAAAATGTGCAAAACATTTTAAGAAGCTTTATAGTATGATCCAGCCTGGGTAAGAAATACACTTCATAAAAACTAGATGAAGTGCTCCATGAGGGCACTTCAGTATATGCTCAATATCACTTCTATAAGAATTATGCACATGCTTAATAGACAGATTTACACATCTTCTTAAAATTAAGAAGGTACTTTGCTTAGCAGTTTTGTTCAATACTTAAGACACCAAATCAGAAACAAAAGATATAAACCCCTATATAGTTAAAGAAGAAAGGTACAATAAAATACGCCAGCTTTGCAGTTGTATGCAAAAATGCAGAGATATAGAGCCTTTCCTCCAGCGAGTTTATAGGAAAAAGGGAGAGTGCCGCATAGGAGTGAGTGGGGAAGGAAGAAATGTCCACCCAACTGTTGCTTGTCTTTCAAAACTGTCTCTCTGCCTGTTGCTTTCCAGAGCATTATATATACTCTACAAAACTACTAATACAAAGCAATTCTTAGTATGCCTATGCATATTCATATGTAAAGATCTCTAGAATCAAAGTTAGGTCCTGTGGAAATAAAAGGCCAGAGAGGAGAAGAATCTTGGCCTTTCCTATCATGACACATGCACAAACTGGATCAATATTCCCATCTTAAACAATGCCTTCTGTATTCATATGAAACTTGGTTCCAGGAGCAATACTTGTCTCTTTTCTGTCCTCTCATCTGCCTTATAAAACTATAAAGGACTTGAACTTATAATGGAGTTTTCCCTTTCCTGCCTAGAGCAACCTGCTCTAGGTGATCCTGAATGAGGAGGAAGGCTGGGCCACATAATTTCTGAAGGTGTTTTCAACCTCTCCATGACTCTGAGAACTCCCCACTTCCCTTCATTAATTCTGCTAATTCTCCTTGGTATGCTTAATGGAGAGCTACTATCATTGTAGCTCTATAACTATTTGAAGGAAGCCCTGAGAATTAATCGCCTAAAGTGCCGAACCATAGTGAGATATTTTCACGTCTTTGTTAGTTTTCCTTTCATCCCATCCTTATTCTGATGCTTTAACTTTCCTTGTGAATTTTAGTACTCTTCAGGCATGGTGGCACCCACCCATTTTGTCTGAAGCACTTGAGATGGAAAGACAGTGGGAGCAGTGGCTATCCCTAAGGAAAAAATATTTGTATTCTTGACTGTATGACTTACGGTTTCATTGTCATGCCCCCAATCCTCTTCCTTCATCCAGACAACTTGTTTGACATAGATGGGTATCATAGCATTCTAAGAATACTTCCTTTTCTCCATAAGAAGAAAAGGCTGGACCATAGGGCTCAAAATCCTGGAATCTATCTCATCCCTCTGGCTCCACCACTAGTACAACTACATATATAACATAGAAAAACAATCTCTTCTTCCAGAAAATTCATTGTCTTCCAATCCTGAAGGATGGAAGTGAACCACAGAGTGAACCTGGGAGAGATGGAGACTGCAGGGAATATGTGTCATCAAGTGTTTCAGTTTACTATTACTACCTGCAGTTCCAGAAAATGCCTTTGTTGCTGAATGTCTGGACTCTAATTTTGTTTTCTAAACACAATGTTCCGAGGCTGAGAAATATTTTCTTCAAAATATCAATCTTGCAGAGTGATAGGAAATTATGTATGAATCAGTTACCTAAGAAGACAAGATTGATGTGATCAGCTTTCTTTGTGTTTGCCCACCTGCCTCTCTCTTCATAGGAAATTTGAAACCGCTAGCTAATTTCAACCACATTTGACAGAGGGATGGAGATCTCAGAAATATGAAGTTTCATGAAAACAGGCAGCTAGGTAGCAGAGGGAGATTATTAGGGTTTCCACTGAGAAATGGCAGCGACATAGACTCATCTCTTATTAAACACTTGAGAATCCACCCTGGAGAGCACCAATGAGTCCATTACAAACATGCTCCATTATTTATGCTGCTCACCAAACTGCTTGTTAACTAGCTAGCTCTGGTATAATTATTTGTATATCAGATATAAGTATATGAGGCATTCAAAATGATGTTTTATTTTTCCTACATTTAACTATCTTAAAATCACAACATCTGTGACCAAAAATAATGTAGATTTGGATATTAACACAGAGGTGTGGGAGTTTTCTTACATGCCGTGTGTTTCATAGTAAACAGTTGATACTCCTTGCCTCTGAGGGAAAAAAAAAAAAGGTATCTGGTAACAAACTACATTAGATTGTTTTTCTTTCAAGGAAAAATTGAGCTTAAAAACAACAGGAATATAGCAGTATCAATTAAGTCTCTTTATGGGATATCAGTGCAGGACTGGCATTAATCAAGCAATCAGTTACACGAAAGGATGATCTAGTAGTTTACTATTTTCTGAGGCACACTGCAGAAACACCCTGCTACAAGCCCTGCTCAGGGAATTACAGTAATAAAGCCTCCTGGGTAGGAGGGCAGTTCTTGTTATTCAGAAGTCAGATGAAATCTGAAGGAGTTACCGACAATAAAAGCAGTACAACTTCAAACAAACAAACAAACAAAATCATTTTCCTGGCATACTTTGCAGAGAGATAAAACTCTTAAATATGATGCCAAGACTCTTAATCTGACTAAGTCTACAAATAGATGCCTTCTGAAGTGGGCACACACATGACTCTGATGAACAACTCAATGAGCAGTCTGTTTTCCCAGGGTTGAGGATATGGCAGCTCCGTTATACCCATCTGGAGATCTCAGTCAAGGATTACTCCAGGGCAGGGAAAGAACTGGGAGCTGACGGGTAAGAGATATAGCTAAGCATCATCATCAGACTCACGGCACTCCACCCTGTGATTAGAATTGATCTTGCCAAAAGGTACCACCTATGCATCAAAGCAGATGGGAAACAAGAGATGCTTGAGGAAATGCCACACTTCAAATCCTTCAACTACCACTTGTCTTCAAAGCTATGTAGCTTAATTCTCCATTGTCTTGTCAGTATAGACATCCCATATCCTCTTCATATGAGACATCTCATATTCACATAAAACTCAACAAAATAAAAGCACATGCCAGAGCAAAAACAAATAAACAAAAAAAATAGAAAGAAAATAAGTACTGTGCATATTACATTAATGTGTATACATTAAAGTTGAAAGTAACTCAATTTACACATGTCAAATTGTTGAAATAAAACATGAGAAAAACAGACCAGAGATGAAAAGCACAGTGCAACAATGCAGCACAGCAATGAAGCTGCCTTCTCTAAAGACAATAAAAGGAGCTACTGTGCTTATGCAGCTCTGGGGCTTGCCTTGATCTTACTTATACCAGTATAACTGAGGAGCTATTCTGGAGACAATGTGCTAAGTTGTCCTCAGGAGCTTGTGCAGATTCAATGGAAAGGAAGAAATGACACAGGGTACCACGAGACTCTCTTCCACTGACCAAATATGTACTTTGTCAGACAGTCTATAATTATCCTGCTCTCTGCAGGATCCTCTGAAAGGTCCCACATGGATTTTCAGGTGTGTTTTTTTAAGTCTATTTTACTGTGAATTACAGTATAATAGTAAATTTAAAAATAAAATCAGAATTAAAGAAAGAAATTTCTTAGGGATTTCCATACATATTGTTTTCAGAGTAGTTGAAAATCATCCAATAATGTGAAAAAAAAATGTTATTTCCAATCATTCATTTCCTGTTTGGAGTATATTCTGCATCCACAAATCATTTATTAATTTGTAGCTTCGCTGGCAATTTTTTTTGGGGGGCAAAAATTGCAGGTCTCTGAGCTTATATAAACATCAGTTCGTACTCCTGCATACAAGAGATTTTTTAAAGTGAACTTTAGAGATGTATTATGTAGAAACAAACTGAAAATGTACTAGAGAAATAAAAAAAATCCCTCCCAGCACTTTGATAATGAGACTGCTGGGAACTTTACATTTATAAGACAGAATAAAAAATGCAGAATTTTCATGTGTCTAAAACTCTCCTTCAGTCAGAGCTGACATTACCCTAGTAAGCAATTATGTAGTTTGAACTAGTCTTCACTGAAACATACATACTGAAGACAGGTTATGATTCCAAGACAGTTCCTAGTAGAACTGAGCAAAATTCCTAAGAAGTACTTGATTTAAGAAAAGATTCACACTAAAATTAATGGGAGGTATTGGTATGGGTATAGGTTTTGCCCTGCTTATTTAAGTCCAAATAGTTTTCTACCTCTACCTCTACCTTGTAGCTTAAGACTAAGATTTGAAGGCATCAAATCCTAGTACATAGAGGTACATGGGTTGTAGCAATTGGCTTTCAAGAGGCTAACATTTTTTTTTGTACATTGACTTCATCACACTGCACTCAGATGTACTACGAGCATGTTAGAACAGGTGCACAGATGTTTCATCGAGTGATACTTAACGGAAAGCAAAAGTCATGAGATAACCCTGTAACACTCCTTGTTTCCACTAATTCAGGCCAAGGCTGAGCACGTATGCAATATTTATATATATACATATATATGCTGCATAGCAAACAGTGCAGTGGACAAACAGTGCAGTACCGGTCAGCAAGAGTAGCTGATAAAACTTAACTATGTTCAACATTAGAACAGAAACTAAACTTGGAAAATGAAAGTGTAGACGGCCAAGCGTGTAAACACTGTTGAAGGAGTGCGGCACGTGTGCCACTAACACGTATCTCCCACTCCATCTTAAGCCAAAAGGAAATTAATTCATGGCTTTCTTGAGGCACTGACCAAAAAAATGTATAATATGAAAAATTAAACAACTACAGAAAATAAATGACTTCTCTTACAGTTCCTAATAATACAGTAATAATGTATAATAATAACATATATAATACATAGTACAGTTCATAATCACTTCATAATACAATTTATAGGCTCAGTAGACAAAAATTAACACCATCTTTACAGAAAATGATTACAACTTCAAGACATCCAGGTCTTTCTTTGCTCTGAAAACACACAATCCGGAAAGTATATAACTTTGCTATTATAGAGAGATTGGGTCCTGTTACTTCTGTCAACTTACAAAGTTTTATAAATTCAGGCATAATCACATACAAACCATAGAAACTTTGGCAATCTTTAAAAGATACATTATAAAAGCAGGTACAGTAAAAACCATTATCTTTTGAAAAATCAAACCCAATTTATCTACAACTTATCTATTTATACACAAAATGTCAAATGTGTTATCACATTTTAGTATCTGTTAGCTCTCATCAGAAGAGCTGAAGTAGTTTATTTGATGGGAGAAACATGTTATTCCCTCCTTTTTTTCTGAAATAGTGCTTCAACTTAGACTTAAAGAAACAGAAAAATCACTGATATACTCAGAAAAATCTCTTAAATTATCTGTAGATAATACACATAATACTTTTTTTTTTTTTTTTTTTTTTTTTTTAAAGAAGGTTACTCTACATGAGTCCTTTGGAAAGAAAAATGATGTTTCAGTTCAGATCTGAAATACAAAGGACAGGAGACTTCCTACAGCAAGAGCTGCAGAAAAGGTGCTCTCAGTATCAATTGTGACGGGAGGTCAGGTTCTGGGCCCGAATTCTGGGGAACACAAACTGTCCAATAGGAAAACTCCATGAGAGAAAGAAGCAAAATTCCTGGGTGATCTGATCATCGGCACAACTGGCTGAAATATTACTCCTTTCTACTGCTCTCAGAGGAGCCTTACACACAGTGGTTTATGTTGTGTGGTTTGAACTTGAGAACTGCCATTTAAAGATTTTCTCTTCAGTGTTATCTACTACTTCTCTGGATAAAAAGAAAAAAAAACGCTCTTTTACATCATGAAAGGTTATATACTATATCAGATAATGCACTTTTTTTCTCCATTGTTAGATTCGTATTAGCTTTGATGTATTTTGTTTGAATCTTGTATATTGCTTTGTATTCTATATAAGATAAAACATACTAGATATTATTTCAGTAGAAAAGACTGCATTCTTATTATCCAATACTATTTTTTATTGAAATATTTATATAGACAAGCTTATATTAAAGTTTGCTTTAATGCTCTAAATGATAGATTGTTTCTTTATTAGTAGGAGTTCACTCCTGTCAGGTTTACATGAAAACTGACTCCTGCATCTAAGATTTTGAGCTCATTTATAGCTCTTGAGATAGAATAACATGCAGGTGTCACTCCTCCAAATTTCACTGAAGATTAACCTAATATGCAATATGGTGACCTAACAGTTCTTCATTTGAAAGAAATCTGAAAAGTAATCTCTGATAGAGCTGGAGAGTGAGAATAACCCAGTGGGATTTCCACCTCTTCATTTCCTAATGAGTTTTTTGATAATGAGAGGTGACTTTGCCAGTCACTGTGGGCTCTATTATGGCTAATTTACTCCACTTCACTCTCCTTGTTAATTATTAACACTAGCCTTTTTATCCTCATGAGACCACATTCCAGTTTTTCCCTTTTAGTTTTTTACTAAATCTATCTTTATGAAGGTGATAGTTTTCAGGGAAAGGTTTTCACTTAGAGTAATGCCAGAATTATTTGTTTCACTTAGGAAGACTGTAAAATTGATTACATAAGCATGGGGAGATCTTTCTAATGGCTTTAATGTACTTGCCATGTGAAAAGGCTGTTAATTAAAGAATAAGCACTGTGGTATGCTTCACTAGGGAATCAATTGGTAGAATGGTCACTTGCCACTTGCTGACATATCCACCGATTAAAAGGTGACTAATTTTCAGGGTTGCTTTCCAATAGTTTTGAAAGGGGGGTGGGAAATCTCTATAGTTTTCCAGATGGCTTTCACTCCCCAGAAACTGTCATTTACTATATCTATTACCATTGGGGAATTACTGAAATTGGTATACAGGTGTGACATTTCATACAGCAGTCGTTTTTCTTCCTTCATTTAACATTTTATAATCTTGCTAATAATTGCTTTGACATGAAAAAAACATGTCCCCAAGTTTTTCAAAAAATTTCTTTCATAAAACTCATTTAATCATTTACGATTAATGCCACCTAATCTTTCAAAGAAAGAAAAGTTAATCTGCAGCCTCCCAGTAAACTCTTTGCACTTAAGGATAGCCCTTGCTTCTTTCTATTAACTCCATCACCTTGAAATCAATGAAGAAAAGAACACAAATGATATAATAAAGTCATTAAAACTTGTGTCATAATTTCTTCTTCAAAACTATTGCAAAATTCTCCATAGCTTTCATAAACTTTTTATCTGCCTATAACATCAGATTTAGAGATGTGTCTACTAAATAGAAAATGTAAGGTGGTAAGAAAGCCACTACACACACTGAGAAGTTTATTTATCAGACCACTGCTATACAATTCCCATTGTTTGCTTCAGTACTCGCTAAGGATAACCTGGAACAACAGGCCAGACCCAGAAGGTACGGCAGTTTCCCACAGTGAGCAAGCAGATCTTAGTAATTTATATCCAGAATTACAGTCTACAGCCCTTAGCTTCTGTGGCCCAGGCAATTAACCATGGAAACATTCCTCTTCTGCAGGTATCTCCCTCTTTGACCCTTGCAATCCATGAGCAACCAGTAAGTATATTCCACTAGGTTCTAGGCTAGGTTCAACTGGAGCCACACACATCCAGAAACTAGGTAGGATTTGCAGCTTTGTAACAAAGACCCTCAGCTGGGAGTTGGGGAGCAGGGAAGTTCTGAGGAGCAGATACAGATTCATTCTTGAATTGAATCCTCTCCTTACGAAAATAGAGCCATAGTCCAGACACAGTTGCCTGTGGTTAGCATTTCCTAATTGCTAACCCTAGCCTATTCCCTCCATGGGAGATATGTGTTTTTTCTTTTTTTTCTTTGGGAACACTTGCCTAATTCTCACCATGACCTGAATAAAGGCTTCACGTTTTCCCATCTGGATTAGACAACTACTTAAAGTAATGCAGAATCTAGCTTAAAAGAACCTGTCTTTCTAATGAGATCTGCAGATTCTGCCCTCATGATGGAATAATCAAGCTCCACTTAACCTTAGCATGGCAATTTTAATATGTTTGTGGAGCCACTGTTTGTTCAACAAGGGATACACAGCAATCTTTACTGTCTTAAACTATGACAAACACTGATACATACATTTTCTGTCACTAAAGACTCATGTCAGAATAGAAATCATCAGGAATATGAAATTTCCTGAGCTGCTAAATCTCAAGGTATGGAAACATGATTAAACATTCACAAAAACCCCTATATCCACTGAAGTACATAAACAATGACTTTTCTGTCTCTATCATGCTTAAGACTAAGCTTTAATTAGTGGCCCTGTCCATTTGCCCTTTTCCCTCCACCAAGTTAGTCACCTGTGGTGTTACTGTGAATTGTACACTTGGTAGTTGCTCCTTTTCATGATACGGTGCTATACTGAAATGACCTATACATTTTGATAAACACTTGGCAGATGAAGGTAACAATAACACAATGGTAAATAATATAAGTTGCAATATGTGTAACCTTGGAGAAAAGCTCTTGAATACTATTTCCATTCTCTCAGTCATGCAGTTTCCATACAGGGAGGTAAAATTCTTAACAGCTATTGAATTTCCACAGAAATGAAATGGGTTTCCAGAGAGATAGTTAGAAATGATCTGCTGTTCATAGGAAATTTTATGATAAAAAAAAATAAAAGGAATAACCTGAACCATGGAATCAAAACAGCATTTTTTTTCTCCAAATAATTAAAAAACAGCAAGTCATTTTCCTAATTACTTATAGAATATGAATAAAGAGCTAAAATATAACACAAATACACTTTTGTTTTTATGTCTTAAAGTATTAGAAAAAAAGTATCTGCGTTTAAAATAGTGCAATTTTTTTCTTTAAATATTTCTTTAAATCTTATCTCTTCTATGTTTATATATATAATATATAAAAATATAAACCAGGAAAATGCCAATTTTTGGTTATATTCATTAAAAACACATTTCTAAGGTGTGGGGAGAGTAAAAAATCCTATACACAAAATAAACAAAAATCTTGAGATCTTACTGTCATTTCTGAGTGCGTTATTCAACAGTTGGAAAAGTGGGAAGCTGTCCCAGGAGTCCTGCGGCTGTGCCTCAAGTGCTGAATCCATATCAACAGAATAAAGAGACAAAAACTTCTCTGCATGCTCAGCCAATAATTCTGGCCACCAAGCAAATGCCTACGAATATGTCAAAACAGAATTATTAAGTACAAGTCATAAAGCAAAGAAATGCATTGTATCTACAGAAAAACACATTTGGATATGCCACCTCATATATAAGCTCTTTCAAGGGGATGAATAGGCCAAGGGGAAAATGTGAAAACATTTTATAAAACTTTGCATTGAGAATGTAAGAAATCACATGAAAATTATGCTGGGAAAGATGATACCATTATGACAAAAATACAAAACTATAAAGAAAAACCAACGCTCTCACCAGAAGACTTGTTAAGATCTCCTTTCTAAAAAAAAGTATAAAACCTGGCAACCACTTTTGCCAGCCARAAAAAAAAAAAAAAAGACTTCATTCTTTAAAAATAACACTATGCTTCTTTTTGATTTCATTCAATTCTAATGCTATCAGTAATCAGATTAATTTATTTTTCAAATAAATTTTGCATTAGAATTTTGTTCCCATTTCTTAATCAGAAGGGATCGTTTTAATGTGAAATATTACTCCTTTAATTCTAAGGTTTTATTTTTAAAGATGTAGATTTTTTTAATTCCTCATTTTCCCTTAAAGGCGTAGACTTCTCATGATGAAGTAATCCTGTTTTCCTTCAGCTAATGCTATAAATACATCTTCAGAAATTCACTAATGTCTATAATGATTTCTAGTAACTTAACAGTATCTTAGAACATACAGTTTTCTTCAGTCAAAATGTAGCTTCTTGGAAAACCATAGCTCAAAATAAGAAATTTGTGCAAAATCAGTATGGCAGCAATTAAAGACAACTCTGTATTAAAGGCTGCTTCACTTTTAAGTGAAGCCTGAGTTTTAAATCTGGGCTTCAAAGGTAGATGTTGAAGTTGAATATTGGATCAGAGGGAGCTGTATGATCCTAGAGTTAAAAATGAAGGTGAAATAAGTCTGAAGTCTAGCTTTATTTACACAAGTGCTGAGTTCCCATAATTTCAATTAAAGCCACTCAGACCTTCACTTGCTTTTCTGAAAAGCAGGTACTAGGTAAGTAAAATTATGTATCCCTATCCGAAAGGTGTCAAATAAGACAACACTTTTGAAAACTGGACCACAAATGTGTTCTTGCATCCTGGACCTTCTGATGACTGTCTATAATGCTTTCTGATATGAGGTGCATGACTGCAGCTTTCTCCTGACTGCAGCAAGAGAAAACATGAATTAGAGAGAGCTTTTAAAGAAATTTTGAGCATGCTCTGCTATTACTGAAAGGCTCTTGGTGCATTGCAGTGTCAAGACTGAAGGATGCTGACTGGCATCACAGTGAAAAGGACAGATGAGGCTTCAAAAATTTTGGTAAGAGTTTGAAATGGAGTCTTTTCCCTCAATCTGGAAGAAGTTTCTCATTAGTGAAATCTGTTTAAACGGGAGCCCATTAAAGGAACAACTTTCTTACCCTGGAAGATAGCTAACTGGAATGAAATAAATAAGCCATGTATATGGGCAATGGCAGGTGTCCCTTCTAGGTAAATAAAACTCTTCAGAAAATATTACCAAAACCTCAAAACAAACAAAGGAAAAGTAAAAAAAAAATGAGAAAAGTAACATATTGTATTTCGATCTTCTTCCCCTTTACAAATGTCATTTTGATTCCAAATTCTGATCCTCTCAAGAAATACCCACTACTGCTGGGGCAGCAAGTAAGAAGAATAGAAAAACAAATACAACAGCAAAGGTTGTCGTGCAGTCATTATGGAGAATATGGAAACAGGCTTAGGCAATTAGCAATTGGTGACATATATTTAAAGAGAACAAATACAGTGACCTGATTAAAGAAAGACTAATGTTCTTAGATTATAGAAAGACACACAAATGTGGCAATGCAAAACTAGAACGATCAGAACAATTTATGCCGCACATTCAAGGTACATATCGATGCTAAAAATGGTGAAAAATAATCTTTAGTTGTTCACAAATCACATACCTCTCTTCCCTGTGGAAATCCCAGAAATTTGGAAGTGTTACAAATTAAAAAAAGAAAAAAACTAGTATTAAAAATGTGATGTTACTATTTGGGAGACTACTGATACTTTTTTTCCATCAAACACTGAACATTTACTTAAAATCACAATGTAAAGTCACCATAGGAATATATGTAGTAATCTTTAATTTTTTAATTACTAGATCTATCTAGTAATTTTAAGTTTTGATTAGGAGAATGTATTTTTTTTCACACATATTTCAATATCAAATGTTGGTATATTTTATAAATTTCATTAAAATTGAGCATATAGTACATGATTCAAAGGAGAGGAAAATAATTTTAACATTATAGTTAGTCTTTTCAGGCTGCCTTAGAATAGAAACACTTACTGAATTGGTTTTGCCAGAGACAAACGGAATATATTTGCCCTTCTAAAATATATCACATCTCTGACTGCAAATAAGCTGTAGAGAAGGCAAGCTATGAACATGATGTTTAGCCATTCATGGTATCATTTGATCATTTTTTCTGTGTGTTTTTACCACAGAAGCCAAATATTCTTACATCAATGCAATTTATCAAAAGACAAAGAAAAACAATATATACATTTTATTTAGTAATCATTACAGAGTAACACAGCGGCAACAGCAGTATAGAATGGAATCCCAAGGGAATTCATTTCAGATCACGGACACAGCTGTTTCTTCAGTATAAGATAAAATATCTATAACAAGTTCACACATGGCAGATGTAAGCTAAAAACTAGATTCTATAGTGTGATAGAAAACCAGATGTTTTGGATGATCATATTTATAATTACATATACCAGATCATGTTTATCATTTTGCATTTTTTCCTCAAAAATATTTTTTTTGGTGAACATTTTTTTAAAAACATTTTCCTGAACCTTAGAAAACCAGATCTATTAAGTAAACATTAATAATATCTATAACTACATGTACCTGGTCAAGTTTATTTTTCTAGTACCTTGCTATAAAAGGTGTTATAATTCTAAATATTCTAAATATTATGGTTTTTGTATCACAAAGCAAAAGACTCGAAAGTAAGAAACATGAAATTGCTCTATTTTATCTCTTCTACCTTATCACGACATTTTAAAATCTGCAAGTTTACAAGCGGTACTTTTGCAATCATAAAGAATGCAATGTGAATGTGATTATTTTATCCATCATTATTTTTATGTTAAAATCAAGATCCATACAGCATGTCAGGTCCAGTAGTCAGTTATGTTTTCTTCCTACTTTGAATGAGAGGTGAAAAATTGGATGGAACAACTGCATAGGGCTACAAATGCTTTCCATACCATTTCACCACCTCCAGCACAGACATTTTCATTCCTGAACCTACAATTCATTCAAGCGAATTCAAGTAGAGTTGTATTTCACTTCACTTTTCATAATCTTCAAATCTCTTATTTCTGTGTAAATTTGAACTGCCTTAAACATATGTCAGAAAGTAAAGTTAAAATGTTTCTTGACAGAATTGCTTCACATCAGGGGAGAAAAAAAATAGGAATAAACTATCCTCTACGGCAAATGCTGTTACAGTCTCACCTCTGAATGATGTTCTTCATTTTGCTGCAATACTTCAATACAGAGTTCTGCCAAGTGAAGAACCTCTTCCAGTTTTTTTGTAGGTGTTGCTTGGTTCATGGTCTCTATATGATATAGCATACAAACCAAAATTGCATTACCAAGAAATAAAACACAATAAACACATTCAACTATTCACATACATTAAACAGTAAGAGAAAATGAGAGAATAGTACAAAGTTATAAAATTTCTGTATAAACAATTCCACGTGGTAAAAGCAATCATATAGTACGTCTAAATATAGCTGAATGCCCAGATCACTAGAAACAAAAAATATTTAATTCACAAAAGAATCATTTATCACTATAAACATTTTGCAATTTAATATGTGAGAACTAACAGGTGCATCAATGTACTAGATGCTCAACTTCTGCAACAAGCAACTTCTAATTCTCCTCAAGGTCAGATATACAAAGACAGCAAACACTAGAGACCTTTTCTGTTATTGTATTTTCAATTCAATGCCATTCTCACTAGATGAGTCATTACTGTCACTGCATCAGCAAGATTCATGAATTTTGCAGTTGTTAAAATTCCAAATATGTTTTGTCTAAGCAAGTCCTAAATTTTAGGTGGATTTAAAAATAAGACAAGACACAACAACTGTTCAAATGACTGATTTCTCTGTCTCTTGCTGGTCTACAATAATAAGATTGAATCTAATGGTTCTTTTTAGTACATAGTGAAAAGCAGCAGTATGAAAAAAAAAATAAAAATAAAATCGACATAAATCTACAAGTAATTCCACATAAAAGAAAGAAAGCACAAATGAAATGAGGTTCAATGATTCTACAGAACGGACCTCAGAAGAGCAAACAACAAAGTAAAACACATGTAACTAAAACTATTATAGGGCAATTAAATGAGATTTAGTTTTAAACTAAGGAAAAAAACCCACGAGACTATATCTCGGGAGCAGTCATGGGAGACAGCAAAGAATAACTGATTTTTTTTTTGCAAATAATTTTTAATCAGTAAAGATATTTGCCTAACTACATTATTAGAAGTACATCAATAGAGCATAACATCTTAGAATAATATCAATAGAGCGATATGATCTTGTCTATTTAACAAACCTCTTATCCCAGAGGCAAATACATGGGATGGAAATCATGAGCATATATGGTTCAATATAATCATATTTTTATTTTTAAAAATTTATTCTAAGTTTGGGTCACAGATTAAATAGTTTGCAGAGGACTTCCAAAGCTGATAATACAAAGTGAGTGAGGACCTCAGAAGTGCTGTCTCATTTTCTGTGCATATTCCTAGATGGCATGACTAGTGAATCACATGAATGCACATCATATGCAGAAAATCCTGCTGATATTTCTTTCACACGTGATGCACCCATCAAGATGTAAAATATTAAAAGATTAATCTAAAAACTTGCATAATCTTCTTGGTGTTAGTAATAATATCAAACTGCAATGACCAAATATTTTTAAATGCTTAACTTTTCTGATAGGTCAAAACAACTTCTCAAATAACATAAAAAACAGGCAGGTGACCTTGTCCAGTTCTTCAAGACTAAGACACTGATGTACAGCAGATTTAAGAAATACAGCTCTAATGCAATTTTTGAAGGAAGATTGGATCAGAATTGGATCAGACTATGACTAAGAGGTGACTATGAAAATGCACTATTATGAAAACAAAATAGGCAAATTAGTTACTGAAGCAAGTAATTTTAAAATAAAAAATAATCAAAGCTTATTAAACACCACATAAGTAGGCATATTCAAGAAATATGATGTTCAATAACATAATCTACCTAACGAAAGAGCTACTGTATAAACACGGACTACACACAAAACAGTTCAGAACAAAATGACATTCATAACACTGTATTGAATTTGCAAAATTGGTATTTTATACGAATATAAGCACTACTACATTGATATATGAGGTTGATTGAGGATAATAAGGCCTTGCCTTATTGTCTTGCCTAACTCTTCCTATTTACACTACAGAATGACTACTGTTGAACTCAGACTTTTTATTCTTATGCCATATAGAAACTGGTATTTCCTTTCATTGTCAGTGTCTTCTCTTCCCTGAACACACAGCAAATACTATTCATAGTGCTAGTAGGTACCTTCTTACATTAATGAGTCTTAGGAAGAATCTAGTGATATTAATATTACTGATACATCTGATTTCAGCACAAACAATGTATTTTCTTACAAATTCAGCCTGTTTTTGTAGACCTTGGCACTAACAAGGTAAACAAAACAATTGCATCATAATTTTATTTATTACTAATGAATTTTACATAAGCCATAAACTTTTCAAAATTATATCCTACAAGACTCTTCTAAATTAATAGAAACTATCTAGTATTAGTGGAACTTATACTGACTTTTAGTTCCCATTTTGTAGTAGTGAAACTTGAAAATAAGTCACTTATTCTGCACACAGAATACATTCAAGATAGCCTATAAAACTATCAAAGTGTTTTTTTTTTTTTTTTTTTTTTTTTTTAAGTCAAGCAGACTTCAAGAGCAGGAAAAAAAAAGCCACAGATTTACTTGTTGACTGTAAGATTATCCTGAATCATCTCTGCAATGAGATCATAAGGAAGAGAAATGTGGTCTCAGGGAGGTATTAATTCCATTGAACAAGGCACTGGGGAAACCTCATAGAGTTCTGGTCATCTGTTGAAGTGACAGATTTAAAACAGGAATGGCCTTGAAAGAATGAGCAGGAATGGAGAATTTTTATGGTCAGGTCCGTGCTGGCACAAAAATAAATCCATCAGGAGTAAGTTACTTAGATGATAAATTGCAAGGACTCCTTATATTACAGGACTTAGGTTCAGAAATAGTTTTTTGATAGGATTAGCACATAGAGGAAGAAAAGGGCAAGACACCTAAGTTTCCTGTAAGGATGAGTGTGGCAAGTTTCTGAATGACTTAAAATGATTAAAATGTCGGAGAGATGGGGATTGGTGGTTTTCAGTCTCACATCTCTATGAGATTCCCCATGCTACTATTCACTGAAAATACATAATTTATCCATATAGTTTTCAATGCTACCTTAAAAATCATTATATTTTTTGATCTAATTACTGATTAGAAAAGGCAGCAGATAATTGGATTTCCTCTACCTCCTTGAACAAGTCACACTATTTTGTTGCCATTCCCTTATTTGAAGAATACATAAATATATCCATTTTCATTTGGATGTGTTACGTTTCTCCGAAGCTTAGGCTTAATTTTGCATTTATTAGTTAGTACATCAGTGTGGTTTCTCTCTCCAAAAGTAATGATATTTCTCATTCCAAAATCTACCAAGTTTATTGACGGTGTCATCATCATTTACATGGGTGCATAAATAGGGCCCACAAAGTGATTCAAAGGAAAAGGAGCTAAATACTTTTTTTTTTAACCAAGTGGTACATTGAAATATGAATACAAATAAATTGCTAGCTGGAAGTTTTGGTCTCCAGAATATCCAAAGGAAATACTGGGCTTGTCTTTATAAGTACTGTTAAAAAATTACAGGAATGGAAATGGAAATCAGTGCTGTCAGTTTTCATTATGTTACTGATGTCTTTCTGCCCACAATTACTAAAGGTTGTTACGATGTGTTTACATTGCTCAAACTAACAAGTTGCTGCAGGAGTTGAGTCAGTAAATAAACTGCTTGACATCTTTTAGCAAATAAACAGAAAAAGCTATCAGTCACCTGTTCTCAGCTTCCCATTCTGCCCAAATGAAAAAAATAATAAAAAAAAAGCAAGACAGGCCTTGCAGATAATGGATGCTTTCTCAAGTATGCATTATCCATGAGTCACACAGGTACCAAGAAAACACTGTTAACTGAGCTAAGTTAACCGACTGAAAAAGCCATTGAAATGAAAAGGTGACTGCTTCACGGACCAATGCAGTTTAAGACCAGAAGGGACAGTTAGATCATCTAGTCTGACCTCCTGTGTTACACAGACCACAGTATTTCATCCTGTTCCCCCTTTATCAAGATCAGCTGTACCAGTCTACTTGGCAGAGTTTTTCCTTGAAGATAAATAAAAAATTCACTTTGTCCACCTCACTCCTGTCACCAACATGTAAGTACCCTCACTGTTATGCACATCATGTGTTTAATTTCTAAATACATTTGCTTGGCTTTAGCTTCCAGCTCTTCAGTCTTACTGTCTTTCTTTACCAAAGGATTCTGCCATTTGCTTCATTATCTTTATTTTTTTATTTATTTATTTTTTTCGCCTCTGGAAAGATATTCTGTACTCTGAAATAAGTAATTTCTCAATTACCTTTACAGAACTAAACTGACTGAAGTTTTCAACTGTCTACTTTATCCAGACACCTTCTTTCTCCAGTCATTTATATATATATTTAAATATATATATTCAGCTCAAAACTCTATGCATTTTTAAATAGATTTAAAAAACACCATCCATAGTATGACCTAACACTCAAATACTTACCTATGCCAGAAAGCTTTCACCATCCTCTCTACTCACACTGCCCTGTTAAGTTGCAGTATTCACATGCCAGTACTGTGAGCAGTTGATGATCTGCTGCTCTGCTTTTACTCCAAAATCATTTCAAAATGAATGCCTTCCAGGTACAATCTCGTATTTTGTATGCGTGTCCTGCCTTCCTTTTCATGGCAGTGTACAACTTTGCATTTGTTGTATTAAAACATATCAAACTTGAAAGACATGAAGTTTCCAAGTGATCCAGATCACTCCAATTGCTTTGCTATCATCATTTTCTTTTGACAAATCTTTGCGTTACCTGGCATCTTTAAGTAAAGATTTTGTATCTACTCCCAAATGATGATGAAAATGTGAAATAGCATTGGGTCTAATACAAATTTCTGAAAATCTCTCCTCAAAATCTGCTGATTTAATAGCAACTATTTTATGATGCCTCCTTTCTAAGGTTTCTTGATTAACCCATTCTTAATTCTTTTCAAGCCTATTTCGATGACATTGCAGGGGCTATTGTTTTTTAAAGCACTATCAAGTAGAATTATATTCTTAATTAGGCTCTAGTACAATTTGTTTTGTATTTCAAAGTGTTCCTGCTTAGTCTTCAG